GGTCCCCGGACGGCGCGAGCCTCCTCGTCGCATTCCTGTCGAACTCTACGGACGCTGTTTCTCACGGACAGACCTCCCGCTATTGTCCTGTACACTTAATACTGCCGCTCGGAGATCTGCCAATCACGTCTTCGAGGTCTCTATCTCCACCTCTCGCCAGCACCTGCCCCCCACATGTATGTACAGTTGGCCAATGCCCCTGCTCGCTGGATAGGCTTCTCGGTCGTCCGGCGCACCTTTGACGTCGCCCACCGCCTGCAGCACTGCGTCTCCCTCCGGCTCTCTCATGACACAGGCACCCGGCGAGGGCAAAGAAGCCTCTCCTGCGTGACCAGTACTGACGGCCTGGAAATCAAGGGTGCCTTCGCCGTAACGCGCGCTACGCGCCGCCCGGAGCCTCGAGGTGCACACAGCGGACGTGCGCGAATCCACCTACCGCCACATCCCCAGCGGGTGCTCGTCAAGGTGCGTCTCCGTCAGTGATCTGCAGGTGGCGGCGCAACGCTGCGAACGCTCGAGGCGGTGAACGACCGGTGCTGGGCCACTGGCACGGCGCCGACGCTCCTTCCCTCCCAGTGCCAGTGCAGCTCTTGAAGGCTGAAGCTTGAAGTCGTTCGGAAGCATTCCGCAGTGTAGACCTTCCGTCAGAGATTGACATGTCTACAGCCCCCATCGTGTTCGCCGTAGCAGAGCTGCCGTTGCACCAGCAGCTGGGGCGCGGGCTTCGCAGCATCAGGGTTCCAAGTACAAGTACAAGGGGATCCCAATCTGTGCTGTCGGGTCACCAGATCTAGACTGCCATCCGTGCTGTCAGGTCCGTGAGGTCGTCAATGGCAAGACGCCTGTAGGTGGTTCTGCCCATGGGGTATTATTGCCTGTCGCCGGTCGGGTGCACTCCCCGCTCCACGACGTCGATGCATGCTAGCATTCATCCAGACTCGGCGGTCACGTACGGCGGCCGGCATTCATCATGACTCCCTGAGTGACAGTCTGCTGCCGCACGACGTCGACCCGCGACGAGAGCGCCGCTTGTGAGTAAGTTTTCAAGGTTAAGCTTTGCGCGGCTGCGCCGTGGTGCGTGGTGCTTAGAAGCTCCGGTCTGGCGCGGAGTTTGCTGCCAGTGCCAGCCCATGCACATTGCATAGCGATGGGTTTCTGTTCGAACAGCGGTAACGGTGGACACAGTACGTACGCTGCCCTGTGGACCGTGGTCACCTTTGGCCGCCGTGTGTCAGCGTCAGCGTTCGGGAGCAACACTCGAATCTTGCGCCTTGCCTCTCGATACTACATATGTAGATAGGTATGTCCCTGTACATGTATCTCCTCACGTCCCTGGAGACCTCCAGAGACCGAATGCCATGGCGACCGCCGGGAACTCACAGCAAATGAGCACGATCCCTCTGCCGCGGCGTGGCGTCGTGAAGCCGCCACAGCACGCATGCCATTGCGCACCGCGTGAGGTTCGCGGGTATCGAGTCCTCCCCCCTGATCGAGAGAGGAGATCGGCGATGCCATCATGCGCCTTCGTGCCTTCATCTGAGCCGGAGCATCGACGTCTTGACTAGGACTCTTTGTGGCTTTGAAGTAGTCTCGCCAGCCAGACGTTATAGGCGCGGTTCTGCCTCGTCCAAAACGGGAAGGAAAACGGGACAGAGACGAGACAGAACCATGCCTATAACGTCTGGTGACTTTGGTATAGGCGGGTGTGGGGTTCCGTCACGCTCCACCTCGTGGCCCGCTTGACAGCGACCTTCTCTGCGACGGCTTCGCCGCCATGGACGGATATGGAAGCTACCCTGGCCGTGGCCGCTGGGGTGCAACGTCCCGTCTGTTGGCCTCTCATCATCCAGAAAAGTGGGCGGTAAATTACGTATGATAAGAGGGTGCATACATGCGCCCCCGCAGATCAACAACCGGCTTCAGTCCCTTTGAATGGCCAGGGGGATGCATCGCATCGCCGCGGCTCGAACCAGAGGTCGCGCGCAACAAGGCGTTCCGTAGTGACGTTCGTGACGAACGTCACTACCCCACACCCACCCGTACCAATCTCACCAGACGGTTAGGGCTAGGTCTTGTTCTGGGGGGTGTCCGTTCTCCTTCCCGTTTCGGCCACGCCCTAACCGTCTGGGAACGAGACTAGCTTTGAAGTTCGTGATGGCAGGGTGCACTGGACTTTTACCTGCTTCCACTTACTCTCACTCACTTGACAACGGACAAGAGCCAGAAGTTCAGTGCACTCGAGTACAGTTCAGCATGCACCGCGCGGCGGCCTGGCGGGCGAATCGTCAAACGAGACCTACGGTGTTCTACGAGTCGAAATGATACCATAGTTGCATGATGCATTGGTAGCTACAGCGCGTACATAACATGTCATTGGGCACTGTACAACTATTATCAGCAAGGACGAGGACGACGAGTGGGTGAAATGAGCCAACCGCAACCCTCAGCACCGTCAGTCGTCTCGTACAGAAGTTTGGACATGATCCGGGTGAGGCACCGGCGGCGAAGTGCTGAGTGAGCAGCCCCTCCGATCGAGGAAGGATCGGCACCGGCCAGGGACAGACACTGTAAGTATGTATAGTTTAGATCTGTGCACATGCTAACTGTACCTTCATATAGTTCGGACCGTACCATAGCGACGCTTGCAATATATAGACGTCTGCGGACCACGGACCACGGTATTCTCGCGGCGAGATACAAGTCGCGCCACGGAGGGCGGCCGGCCGCCGGCAGGCCAGACGATATGAGGGCGTTGGATCGACTCGGAGCAACAGTGGCACAGACAGTAACGGTACATGACAGATGAGGCAGCGTTGGGCACAGAATGGGTGCAGAGAAAGAGGCGGATACGGATTCAGCCAGCAGGACAAGTATGAGAGTAGTAGTGCGAGTAAGTGAGTAGGAGGACCACAGATATGTGAAAAAATAATGGTAGGTAGAGCAGGAATACAGTGACGAAGTCGAAGCCGTATGATGTGAGTAAAGGAGCGGACGGGTTGGTTACATAGTACAACATGTGAGCAGCCAGAGATTACTTTTCCATATGCACTCGCGCGTCGTCCGTACGCGCGACCGAGACGTTCATTTGATACGCAGGGGTATGCCACATATATCACATAAGATGTGGTCGTGACGATCCATGGCCGCGGTGTTCGAAGTCGGAGTGGGACGTCGGGGCCGTGTCTTCCTGATCCACGTTGCGGAGGATGATGGATTGATTACTTGTCATCCCAGGTCGAGGTCTTCCAATATGATCTGTTCAAGCGCAAGTCAACGGCCATCGTCACGATCAAGGAAAAGAAACCACGGCCCACTCACGATGGGAGCTCGATTGTCCGGGGAGAGTCCGCTAAGGGGAAGGACGACTCAACGCCTGAGCCGATGTTGATGGGCAGCTCTATGCGGAGCACATTGCCCAGTCCGGGGAACTCCATTCTCAAGAACAGGGTGTACTATCCAAGGAGTGAGCACAACGAGAAGCCCCGGATGGCGCTGCGCGACCCACCTTGATCTTCAGCTCCTCAGTGAGGAACGTCGGCGTGAACCGCAGGTTCATGACGGAGTGGAACGAGACCTCTTGCGACCAGCGCCCGCGGTCTGTCTTCTGCCCGTCCGGGAGCCAGACGTAGTTCCCGACCTCGACGTCGACTGGCGGTGTTGGGGCGTGCGCCTTCGATATGATGTCGGCGACGTGCTCTTCGGGATTTGATGGCTGATACGGCGTCTGCATGTCTACGAACCTCCGGAGCTCGAAGTCAATCTCGGAAGGGTTGCGGGGCGCAGACGGGTAGAGGTTCTTCTCCGGAACCGCGTTGCCTTTCCGCTTCATAGGCGCGGTGGTCGTGGTGACTACGATGGTGTACGGGATGTCCGAGAAGAGGGGAAAGGTGTCCACATGCGGGACGAGCAGCTAGAGACGTCGGCCGTTCAGCATTTGAGGGATTCTCGCAGCAGAGACCAGGCTTACCTCGAGTTTGGCGTGCGCGTAATCGCCCCACGGATACTTGCGCATGTCGCTCTCCGCCTTCAATCTCCCCCATGTATCCGACCAGCCGAGCTTAAGTTGCGCGCGGACTGCGCTGCCTATCGGGTCAGGCTGGACGACGACGACGGGGCTCTTGACGGTGCGGTCGACCGCAAAGGTGGTGTTCCGCACGCCGGTGACTTCCACCGCGTACCGGACGTACGCGTTGTTCATGTAGGACTCAAACTGAAACGACGGGGGCGCGTCCTCCGGGAGCTTCAGCTCGAAAGGCAGGATGATTGTGCTCCCGTCCGTCGGCGGTGTGCTGCGGTCTCTCCTCCACAGCGTCAGAGGCTTCCGCAGGAACTCGTTCGTGTCGATCTTGAACTGCTCCGCGTCGGCGCCCATCCGGTTCTTGCTGCAATGCAAATACAGTCACAAAACAACGAAAGTAAGCAGAATGCAACTCACGTCTTGATCGTCCCCTGCAGTTCAACGTACACCCTCTCGATATCGTCGTCAAGTGCCGCCTCGTAGTCCAGCTCAACCTCTCCCATGACGGTCCCTCCGGAGACATAAATAGTGGGCGGAAGCGTGAGGTGAAACGCCGTCTTCCGCATAGCGAGCGAGTACGCAGACTGGGACGTCGTTGACGAGGTCATCTTCGCTTGACCAGTTGCAGCCGGCGCGGGGTACTCGGAAAGACGGCGCAGGTCGCGCAAGGACGAGAGGCGGGGCGGGGCGGAACATCCGGACGCTGGGGGTACATAACGACGCGGGTGGCCCGGAGGACTGGGCCGTATTCTAGATCTTTTCTGCTCGAGGGACGGACCCGATCGTGGCGGTCGGATGGACACGCGAGGCCGAGAGGACTGGCAGGACGCGCATGGCCAACGCTGGTCCGACCGTTTAGCACGGCACTAAGCCGCAGTATGGTAAGGCTAAATCCTTATCCGTCTCAGATGGCAGACCGAGCGTCCCTGTTCCTTTCCTGGCTTGCGTGCAATACAAGTTCTGTTTGAAGAATCTGCTCAACGTCCTTGTCGATTAGTGGTTAGATCATCACGTTGTGGCTTTTTCAGAGCGGAACCGTGAAGACGGAGGCTCGAATCCTCCCTGGGACATCCTTTTTCTTTTCTTCTGGGTGCGCTGTACCCGCCATTGTTAGCCGTCGTCGTATCATCGTGTCCGAATCCCGAGCGAGGGTTTCTAGCGCGAAGAAGGAACAAACATTGATACCCCATGCCACGATGCAACTCAAGTCGTCCCGAAGTCGATGAGCGTCCATATGGCGACCCGGCTATCCTGGCCGCCGGACACTAGCCACCGCGCCCTCTCTTCCTTCTCCACCTCGCTCATCTCGTTCTCATCCTCGTCGTCGCCTTCGGGGCCCATGTGGGGATGCGATTCCGGCTGCGACCGCGCGAATGCAATCGACTGGCAGTTCTTCTTGTGATAGCTGAGCGTACCGAGCGGTTTGAACGACTTCGTCGAGTACAGACGAACCCTGCGTTGCCCAGTTCACGTCAATGTTGTCCGCTCTCACCGGATTCCAGCCCAGTGTAAGGCTGAAGTTTCTCGGAATTCCTGCTCACCTGCCGTCCCATCCTCCAACGGCGCACACCCGCCCATCGTCCCTCATCGCCACGGACGCATTTCCCGGGTGCTTCGTCCTGTACACTGTGCACGCCGCCTCTCGCGTCTCTGATCGCTCCGCGTGCTGTGGAGCAACAACAACGCTCGCCACCGCTTGCAAGGGGGTAGTGATTCAGAGACGGACACTCACGGCAAGGTTGTACCGGCCTATCAAGTGATCGGCAGACACGGTTAGCGCGAACGAGTTATCCTTGGACACGGCCATCGCCATCACTGCATATGACATGAGCGTCGTTCAACAGGCGAAGCCGGGATGGGGATGGGGTTTTGAAGGTGCTTACCGGATTCGACGTGCTGCTTGACGGACCACAGGACGTCCCAGCCCATGCCCTCAATGGACACCTCTTTGTCTTCCCGGGTGTATTCGCGCATCGTCACGCTCCCGTTCTCGTATGCGCACAGCAGTCGCAGGCGCGTGCGACCCGTCATGTGCGGGTGGGGCGCACTCATGAGGTGCATCGACATGATGATTCCTACAGAACTGATCTGAGCGTTGTGCGACGGGATGATATCGAGGAGTCTCGGGGCGTACCTATAGCATTGCGGACGTCCCTTCCGTCAGACGCAGAAGCTGTCCGTCCCTCCTTCCCAATGGCGGCATGCAGCCGCTGCTTCCCTGGCAGGGTCCAGATGTCGGCCTACCGAACCGCCGTTGAATATACTCGCACGTAACAGATGGACGCTGAATGTATATGCGTACATGCGACGATTCGACCAGGTTCGGAACTGCAACGAGCGCATGGCGATCGTCCGTACGTGCCTCCGGAGGAAGAGGCAGCAAGGCGAACCGACAGAAATTCAGCGCGTTGACGTCCAACGAGTAGCACAGCTGCGGAGTCTGCAGGCCGGGCAGCGCTGCTGAGCCTCCGAGGCTTCTCGCGGGCTCGTAGACCGCTTTCCAAACGTGAAGCTTGTTATCCCGTCCATGTCTATCAATATACATCGTTAGCATACAGGCACGACTTGCACTCTGAGGATCCACGAACGGACGTGATGATCTGGTCCTCGAACTCTTGCAGGCCGAGGAGGCCATCCGTGTGCGCCTTCCAGTTGGCAAGTGCGCGCAAGCTCCTCGTAGAGGTCACGACAACCACACCGGCGGCATCGCCAGACAGTATCCGTTCGTTGTCGTCAGAGAAGCACACGACGTTCACGTGCGCACCATGGCTTCGTATGAGGTGTTTCGGAGTCGGTGGTGGTGGTGGTGGCGCCGACATCGTGGAAGAGCTGGGCTGCGCCAAGTGATCTCAGTCGGTTAGCAACTGCTTTCGTCACCTGTCCGGTGACTAGGTCGTGGAGATGCCGTGGCCTTGACCCTGGCGTAAAGTTAAGTATTGATGGCCGTGGTGGGAGGTGGTGGAAGCAGAGATCGGATGGCACGGCTATGGCACGTGTATACGGACCTCCATGCCCGATCGTGATCTTCGATTTATTGAACGCACTCAATTTCGGACGGGGTTACGTCGTAACGTAAACATGATCCGAGATCATGGTGAGCACACTTGTAATGAGACGTCAGGCAAGCCAGAGCGTATGCAGTCAATACCGCCGGATCCGCGAGAGACTCAACACGATCCACTGTGTCTAGTAGTAGCATGGGACAGGCCGCCTGTGAGAAACTCGCATCTACCCGTCACTATGTACTCAGCAGGCGATGTCTATAGGATGGATAGGGTGTTGTTGACGACAGCAAAATGGTGCTGAAAAGATTAATGTCTTTGTCGACACCGCTCTGAAGGTTGGCCCCGTACATTTGGATGTAGCGGCGCTCCTCAGGATGAGGATGGGCCGCATCATGAGAGGCTGGTCTCCTGAGGCGTAGCTTGATCTAACCTGGGTATGTAGCATTTTAGAGCAGGACAGCATGTTGGACTCAGACCTTGATCGCAGGAGCGGCGCGCTGTCATGCTATTGTGATGTAACATGAAGATGGGGCTGGTGAGATTGCATCAGGACCGCGCTCGGCGATGCTGGGCTCATTCCAAGGAGTCCTCGGGGTTCGAGCGGCCATGGCCAGCCTGACTTCAAGTTCTCGCCGGCAATGATTGTATGAGACTTGTATGGCACACGCAATTGCATGTACGGACTCGTCTCCAATGCATGCATGCAGCATTCGCGAGCAGCGTCTTCGATACTGCCGAAAGCCGACTGGCGCATTCTGATGCAATCGCTCGCTGTGAATGTTCCCGGCGTCGACTGAGGGCAAGTAGCTCAACGCAGAGCAGTCGCAGTCTGCGTTCAGTCGAGCAAGCTGAGCGCACTGAGGGTAAGAATCAGGCCAAGGCGGGAGAAATCAAGATGAGTGGGCAGGGAAGATGTCTTGTGGCGCCGGGAGCGCTCCGGAAAGACGAGTTCTGTGTTTGGAGCTGGCCATGGTAACCGACATACGCGCGTCGGTTATTGCCCTTCATTTTGTAACCTCTGCGTGGCCCGAGTAAGTAGCTTGGTAACCGTTCCACAAGTAAGTATAGACTGAGTCCCCTCTTATATGCGAGTCCTTATCCGCCCGCCCTCGCTCTTCCCTCCGCCCTCTCCCCTGGCCCTCTCGTGTATCCCGTCCGCGGCGCATACACCAGGCCTTCTCCCCCATCCGTCTCGGCTTGGAATCCTCAAGCCAGATCCCGGGGCACGACACACTCGCAGACGCGCTCTGACGTACCTGTCATTCTTTCCGAACCAGTCATTCTTTACAGTCCGACCTGTTTACTCCCGCAGCACGCGACGACTCTAGCCCCATCCCTGGAACGCATATCTCCAACGAAATGGCTCCCCGCTTCGCATTTGTTGTCCGCGACGACCTCACACAGGAGGACACGTCTATTAACCCGACCATCATCGCCGGCATCATCGTGGCGGCAGTCATTGGGCTCGGCGCCGCCCTCTGGCTCGCCATCCGATGGTTCAAAAAACGCGCGACCACCAAGCGCGAGCAGTTGCGCGTGTCCGCCTTCGTGAACTTCAACAACGAGTCCGATGGCAGCATGAGCGAGAAGTCGCCGATTTCCAGGTGCGTCATCCGCTCCCGTCGCGCGGTCCGAACATTAGTGCTTAGAGCGGACCTATGCGCTTAGTGCGGGCTCCGGTCTGTCCGGGAAGGGCCTCTTCTCGCGCAGCCAGCTCGATAGCGGCGTCGTCATGCCAGAGCGCGCCGTCTTGCGCCCCGGCGCGTCGCGCGACGAGATCTTGCAACACTACACCGCCGAGGGCAAGCTTCCCAGGCCATTCGCGCCCTTCGCGCCCCCGTCTCCCAGTACATGCGGTCGACCCCGAAGTCGGATCCGCGCACTCAGGTATGGACATGCTCCCCTCCGGCCGGCCCTCCTCCACCTCCTCCTGGCTGTCCCCCATCTTCCCCCTCGCCGGCAGTCGCAGCTCGCGCCGCTTCTCCAACATGTCCGCGATGTCGGGCACGTCCTCCATTGGCTCGATTGGCGCGTCGCAGAAGAAGATCCGCCAGATCTTCGACCCCGTCCTGCCCGACGAGCTTGTCGTCTCGCTCGGAGAGACCCTCAGGCTCGTGCAGCAGCACGACGACGGCTGGTGCATCGTCGGGCGCGACAGTGTGTTCAAGCCCGGCGAGGTCGAGATGGGCGCGATCCCTGCATGGTGCTTCCTCAAGCCCGTGAAAGGCCTCCGTGCTGAGCGGCCGATGCGTGTCTCCAGTCTCGGTGTCACCGTGAACCTCGACGCGGCGCCCGGGATCGACCATCGCGACAACGTCATGTCCTGGTCTAACTTCTGAAGATCTGGTCCACGAACCCTGTACCATCCCGTTCCAGTTCCTTGCCGCACGTCCCCCATACCTGTAGCCACCATGTCTCCCCCTTCCCTCGTCCCTAGCTGAGCGCTCCCCCATCGCCCGCATTCACTCGACTCATCTCCTGCATATACCACCGGGCGCGGTCCCGCCATAAGTCCGCGCCCCCATGCGCCATGGCGCGCATCGTTCTACTTCTCGCCCGTCTCCCCGGCAGACGCTCCCAAGAGGAATTTTGGTCCGTGGCGCGGCTGTCTTACGCCCAGTACTCCTCAGTCCCTTCGCCCACGCCTCGCGAACCTCAGCACCTTCTGCATACATTCGCGAGTGCCCCAGCCCGCCACGCCTTGCATTCTGTAGGATAACCAATCCCCTGCTCACGTTGTTCTCGCAGTTTTCGCTCTGCATGTCTTGAAATGCAACTTGTTCTTGCCCGCTACCCCCGCAAGCATTCCCCTTGGCCCGTTGCCCGATTCCCGATCCCCGACCCCCCGATTATATTCCCCTGACGTAGTAGATGCATCAGTGTTGCCGTAATAGATAGAACCCGTCCGTACGCACTACGTATTCCTTCGCAAGTTCGCGCGCTCAGAAGCTATCGGTAATCTCGTGTATACGTACGTGTCTTGATCCGCAATGCATTCTCCTGCTGTGCACTAACTTAGCCTACACTGCAAGTAAATAAGTAGCGTGGATGAGTATGGTTCCATG